TTCCCAAATCAATAAGACAGTTGGTTTAATTACTAGTGGAAAATGCTTGTCATTCCTCTGTAGCATCTGGTCCCCACTGGACCCTCATCATTTCCTTCACTTGCTCCCCCCACCGACCAAACTGTGCAGCTCTGCAGCTGCATCCTGGACCATCCTCACCCTTCTGCTCCCAACCCTCACCTCCTTGTACCCACAATATGTTTTTCCCAATAAAAAAAGAGATTGTGTTAGTTCATGCAGTATAATGCTCTCCAGTCTCTCCCAAGTTATACAGCATTTTCTGAAATTGTTGCTCCTGAGTGCTGCAGAGCGTTAAGTAAGTTTTAAAACATAGTGCTTAGGGGAAAAATATATACATTTATATAAATAATGTGTACATATCAGTAGGGTATATGCATTTTAAAAGTTGGGCTTGTACATAAGTAGGGTATGTACATAAAGAATATATTCTATAAGGATATGCACAAAAATTGGGATGTGCATAAGTATGGCAAAAGCACTATCTAATGGGGAGGATCATGCCCAAAGTGTGCGAGATGAAGTCTCACCATCCTTGACTCCAAGGCACTCTCTGGCTGAAACTTCTTCTGAGACAGATGTCTTTGTTCTTTTGGCAGTTCATGGTGTAGTCAATGTTCATTACCAACACCACAATTTAAAGACATCAACTCTTCTTTAGGTTCCCTTCTTCACTGAAACCTGCCCACTACCTTGTTGTTGTTATGTGCCTCAAGTTGCATGTGATTCATAATGACCCATGTACAATAGCCCTGACCCCTACCTTATCTTGAGCCAATCTCACTGTCTCTGACACTCCTACTCCCATCACCTTAGCATAAGAAATTTGCCAATAATTTTTAGTTTCTAAAAGTAATTTATTTTTGTATTCTGACTGCTTAAATTAAGTTAGACTTCCAATTCATTGTTGCCCCAAATTCAAATACTTGTACTTCTTTGTCAGGTCATTTCACAAACATGTAATTATTTGCTTTATCTGTCTTTCCTGTTAGATTATATATCATGAGGGCAGATACTATGTCTGACTTGTTCACATCTTTAGTATCTACACAGCATCTGGCCCATGTTGTTAGCTGCCATCATGTCAGGTCCTGACTCATGGTGACCCTGTACACAGCAGGATCAGACTCCTGTGACCCATAAGGGTTTCAAATAATTTCTAGAAATAGATAAAGAGGGTCTTCTTCCAACCCTGTTTTAGTTTGGAAACTCAGAATCACAGCAACACTCATGCTTCCATTAGTAGATGGGTAGTGGCTGCATTTGAAAAACACTAACCAGAAATGTAACTGAGGTTTTTCTACATGGAAGAAGAGAACTCTACCACTAATACCTTCATTTGGTACATGTTGTTGCTGTGTGCTGTCGAGTCTAGTATGTCTCATAGCGACCCTATGAACAAAAGATCTGAACGCTGTTCTATCCGGTCCCATCCTCACACTTTCTGACACACAAGAGCCCATCGCAGGAGTCCTCGTGTCAATCCACCTAGTTGAGGGTCTTGCTCTCCTTTGCTGACCTCTACCCTTTCAAGCATCATGTCCTTTTCCAAAGACATAATGTCTCTCCTAACAACTTGCCCAAAATATGGCATCATCATTCTTGCCTCCAAAGAGCACTCTGGATGCACCATCTCCAAGATATATCTGGTTGTTCTCTTGGCCGTCCATGGGATGTTCTGTGCTCTTCTCCAACATCACAGCTCAAAGGTGTGATTTCTTTTTCTGTCATCCCTGTTCATTGTCCAGCTCTAAGATCCATAGCAAGTAATCAGAAAGACCATCCTAATCAGATGCACCTTAGTCCTTAAACTGACATCATTACTCCTCAATAATTTGGAGGGGTTCCCTAACTGCAGTTTTTCCCACTGCAATGTGTCTCCTTATTTCCTGGCTGCTGGTACCAAGAGTATTTATTACTTGTGGCTCCAAGCAAGATGAAGCTGTTGACAGTTTCAATCTCCTCTCTATTCATCATGATGCTGTCTATTGATCTAATGGTAAGAATTTTTGTTTTCTTGATATTGAGATGCAATTTGGTACATAGTAGGTATTTAATAAACATTTGTGCCCTGCTTACCTGACCTTTCTTTCTTTAAAACAAATTTAAACTGAGTAAAAGCATATGAACATTTTAAGATTCACATTTATTACCAGATTGTTTCACTATACAAATGCATCAATTTATCCTCACACAGAAGGTGTATGTGGCTGCCAAATGCACGGATGGTAGGGAACATATGATTGTAGAATCTTTGCTTTTTTTACTATATGAAAAACAGTATCACACATTGTCTTTGCAATTTGTAATTTGGGTTAAGCATTTAGTTTTCCATTCCACAGTCTATACACATTTTGTTTACTTTGAGAATGTTGGCAGGAGGGACTAGTCTTTGGAAAGAGACATCAGGTGGAGGGTCAGAGAAAGAGAGGAAGGCCTTCAACAAGATGGCTTGACGAAGTGACTGTAACAATGAACTTGAGCATAGCAGAGACTGTGAGAATGGAGCAGAAGTAAGGGGAGCTAGCTTCATATCTGTTGTTCATAGGGTCGCTATGAGTTGTAGATTATTCAAAGGTATCTGACCACAACATAAGAGCACTCTTCCTGATTCCTTCCTGAGTTCCCCATTTTCATTCATCCTTTCCTGTCTGTTCTTGCCTATACAATTTATCACAGATTTCTTAAAATTTGCTTCTTTGAAATATGTGAAGTGAATATTTCCTCTCCTATTTCTTTATTAGCTCTTTTGTAGTTTCTCTTAAATTATTTCTATTATTTGCCCTTTTAAAGCAATATTTGACATTCTTAATAAAATTTGATCCCCATTTCTAAATAATTTATAATCATTTATATTTTAAATATCACTTTAGAGGTTCATATTCAGGAATCTTATGCAGAGATATGGAAAGTGTTTACCTGGAATATTTTCAGGGCTTTTATAAGTCCTCCAACTTCATTCTTTAAGGAAAAAATAAGAGTTGCTCTTCCCCTTTCTAGGGAATGGTCTCTGTTCTCCTTATTGTCTTCAATCATTATGAATTGATGTGCTTGTCTAACACTAAAATGTAAAAACAGAGTGTCAAGTAAGTTGTGCAACATAGGCAGTATTTTACAACTAAGGGCAGCTTAACATCTTCTGGTATCTGTTTCTCCATTCATAAAATGGAGATAAGCAAATATCCTTTTTAAGAGCAATGTAAGATGAAGTTTTTTTAGCATAGTGGCCAGAATGGACCCAGCATACAATATCAGTAATATGCTCTTATGCTTCATTCAAGACATGATGCAAGCCAACCAGGTTAGGGTAGTTCTCCCTGACTATAGTAGCCGAACTTCCCAGATCAGTGCCTTTGCACTTCTTATTAATTAAGCCACAAGGATAAACTACTCTGTGAAGTTCCATCCCATACTCAAAATTTGACACTTTATTATACCAAACCTTTAATCACTTTTCTATTGTTTTATTCACCTATGCAATGTCTTCTAACAAGGTAGTAAGTTCCATGAGGGCAAGAATATAACCTATTTATTTTTGAGACCCTGGCGGGCTGTTGAAGATTAGGAGAATAACTGCTAACCAGGTGTCAACTGGTACTTTTTTTCTTGAGAAAGACAGGGAGCTGTGTCCCATTGCACTTCCTGGCCTGGCTAAAGAGGCGCCAGCATGTAGCACAAGTCATAGGAAAGAAGAAGGATATTCCAAAGCCATTCTTGGAATGTCCCTTCTTCAATCATGATGAAAGATCAAAAGCCCTGGTAGAGTACAAGTCAATCTGTATACATATTAACTCTTTCTCACTTTTTCTAATCAGTTAAGAAGTACAAAACAAATTCATCTGATCTAGGAAGTACAAAAGCTTTTTTAAAAACTCAAACAAGTACTATCAAATAACGTACTTTTTTTTTTAAAAAGAAAAGCTGGATGCTGTTTGAAAACACAACAATGTGAAGTGTGGTCTTGATTTTCTTTTCTAAATAGGAATTAGGATTAAGGTTGAAAGTGAAGATGAAATGGAAGAGAAAATACAGCCCTTGGAAAAATATCATTCTGTAAAATAAAGACACTGGCAATAAAATAGACATAAAGGGCACATATCTATCTACATATGATCTAATATGATAATAAATGCACAGATGTACAAATCCAGTGATAAAATGCCTAAACTGCAGATTATATCTTTACAGCGACAGTTACAGTTATTTTTACACTGTGTTTAAGGAGCCTTGGTGGTATAGTAGTTAAACTATTCGGCTGCTAACCTCAAGGTCAGTAATTTAAGTCTACCAGTTACTCTGCAGAAGAAAACTGAGGCAGTCTACTTCCACAAGATTTACAGCCTCACAAACCCACAGGGCACTTTTATTCTGTCCTAGAGGGTCCCTATAAATCAGCATAGATTTAACAGAAGTAAGTTAATTGTCTATTTTAAGCTGTGCTCACGTTTACTTTTAAATTGAATAAATAAATCCTGTCTTTGAGTATTAATTGACAAGTACAAACTTTTATTAGGTTCAAAAGTTCAACACCTCCACTCCACCTCCACCCCCAGCCATTTAGAGGAGTCCTGCTTGCCTTCTTTGGGCTTCTGAGAGGTAGTAGGATCCACTAGAGGCCAGGAGGTGTGGGGGTTTTGGTTTGGGGGGGTTTGTTTTGGTGAGGCAATTGGAGTTCAACATCAGTGTAGTGTTAGTTTTAAACATCTGAAAATCAAATGGTCAGAATTAAGGCTAAGCTTACCTGGACTAGTCACTGGAGCTGATCCACAAAGAGCTGTGCCTCTCTGCAGTTGTAACCTTCTACCCAAGCCCTAAGGAGCTCTCTCTCTGGTGCAGCAATGGTTGAGCACTTAGCTGACAAGGAAAGATGGGTGGTTTGGACTCATCAGCCAATGTCTGCTTCCTTAAAGATTACATATAGTCTTGGAAACTAGGTAGTTCCACTCTGCCCTATAAAATTCTGTGACTCCAAATACATTCAATTTCTAGGAGACCCAAGTTCTGAATCCCTCCTGGGATGCAGGTGATGAGACTGGGTGTGATACTGTGAGATTCTACATTTCAGACTCCTTTTTAACTTCCCAGAAAGAGGTGTCTGAGGACAAGGTTCTGTTTTTCCCACCTATTGGAAGATAGGCAAAGAAGAAAGTTGTTTCCTCCTGATGAAGAGGAAGGTAAGGAAGAAGAGAAGAGAGAAGTGCTTCTGCTAACCCGAGAGTAACAGGGACTTGGGTCAGTGTCCTCAACTGTACCATGCAGGAACTATCTGCATCACAGGATTTGGAGTGCAGATAAGTGAGAGGAAGTGTAAAGTACTCTCAGAAAAGTAATTTCCCCCCTACAACCACCTCCCTGCTGAAAGACTGAGAAAGGAAAGAGAGCAACACGACGGGTTCCCCCCTACAACCACCTCCCTGCTGAAAGACAGAGAAAGGAAAGAGAGCAACACGACGGTACAAAATCACCACTCGGGAAAGAGATGGCCCCTCATAGACGTCTACCCACCTGCAGGGAGAATGGCCCTACCCCCCCCCCCCCTTTCCAAGCCTGCGGTCCCCAACTCCGTGACAGCAGCGCCTGCTGTCTGCTGGAGCAGGTCACCCACTCCACTCACCCCTCGTGCAGCAGGCTGTGGGTCGCTCCGGGGTCCCGTGTTGCCCGCCTCTTATAGGAGCGGGCTTCAGAGCGGACCAATGGGCGTAGGAAGCAACAGGGCAGTGGCCAATGAAAAGCCAGGACTGACGAACGCTGGGGCACTCTGCCAGGCACGGAGAGTCCCCTGGGAGCTGACCACCCACGCCAGCCTATGCCCTGAGTCCTACCCTTCAGCCGTATCTGGCCGGTGTTTTTAATTAAGCTAACGTAAGCCGTCCCTAACTATCCAAGCCTAATACTGAACTTGTGTAGTTAAGTTCAGAGGTGGAAAAATCCCTTCAAGCCGTTATCTATTATGAACAGAATGGCCAGTATAGATGTGCGATGCCTTCTGGATTAGCAACCCAGATAGGAACCCCTCACTCACATGTATAAGATCTCTAAGGTCTCCTTGGATGAGGGAGCACAGAGATGCTCTCTGGCCCCAGTGATTGTGGGATATTCCAGTTGGAATTTTTATTTGAGACAGTCCTTCTACTTATCTCTGTATCTACCTATAATTAATGCTGATGTTGATACTGACTTATATTACTTAGTTTTATATTGGTTTGCATACAAAATGTTAATATATGTGCTTCATTCATGTACATTGTGTTTTACACGTTCATTCACACTATCTCATATGATCATTCATGCGGTTTATAAAATTAATCACCATTGATCTATGTCTACTACTACACCGTCCTTTCAGGTCTCCACCGGATCTTATCAATTCCTTCATCCCCTCCCTCCAACAAACAAAATGTCATTTTAGTGATTTGCGTGTGCGCGCGCACACACACACCATTACCCTGCACATCTCCCTTCCTCTTTTGGATTTTTCTTGGCATCAGCAGTCAAGAAATTTAAAGGCAAATTGTATTGGGAAAGTCTGCTGTCAGGGACCTCTCTAGAGTACTCAAGAGCAGCGATTTCAGTCTAGAGACTAAGGTGCACCTGAACCAGGCCATAGACTTCATAATTACTTGCTATATGAATCTGAAAGCTGGACAATAACAAAGGGTGATAGAAGAAGGATTGATGCCTTTGAGTTGTGGTGCTGGAGAAGAGTGTTGAAAACACTTTGGACTGCCAGGAGAACAAACAGTTCTGTCCTGGAGAGGGTGAAACCACTTTGCTTGCTGGGGGCAAAGATTTTGAGGCTCTGTTTCACACACTTAGGTCACATGGCCAGGAGGGAACAGTCCCTGGAGAGGGAGATTATGCTAGGAAGGGTAGAGGGACAGTGCAGGAGAAGAAGACCCAGGATGACATGGATTGACTCAGTGACGGAAGCAATGGTTTTAAGTCTGATAGAGACAATGAGATTCGTGCATGATAGGGCAGCATTCAGAGCTAATGTACATAGGGCCACTATGAGTTTCCGGGAATACAATGGCATGTAACAACAACATATACATCTTACTAGTCACTCTTCTATTTTTTACAATAATGATCTTATGCAGTATTTGCCCTTATGAGACTGAGTTCACTCTGCATAATGCTCTCTAGATTCTCCTGTGTTATACAGTATTATTTGAAATCATTGATCCTGACAACATGCCCAAAGTAGGTGAAATGAAGCTTTGCCATTCTTAACTCCAAGGAGCACTCTGGCTGTACCTTCACCAATACATATCTGTTATTTTAGCAGTCCATGAGATATTCAATGCTCTTCTCCAATACCACAGTTTAAAGTCATCACTTTTCCTTCTGTCATCCTTATTAATTATCCAGCCCAGCTCTCAGCAGCATAGCAAGTGATTGAAAAGATCATGGTCTGAATCAAGCTCACCTTAGTCCTCAAACTGACATCATTGCTCCTCAGTAACTTGAAGAAGTCCCTGACTGCAGATTTTCCCAGGGCAATATGACTCCTGATCTGACTGCTGGTACCAAGTGTATTGACTGTGGATCCAAGTAAGTTGAGGGTGTTGATAGTTTCAATCTCTCCTCTATCATGATGTTGCTTATTAGTCCAGTGGTGAGAATTTTTGTCTTCTTTACATTGAGATCCAATCCATATTGAAGGCTGCAGTGTTGATTTTCTGCAGCAAAGACATCATGTTTGGAAAGATGGGGCAAAAAACAGACCCACAGCCAGGGAGATTGACACAGCGATTGCATCAACGGGTTCTCATGTGCCGGATATTGTGGGGTTGTCACAAGATAGGACACGGTTCAGATTTGTTGTTCATTATGATCACTAGGAATCATGCTCAACTTGACAGTACCTAAT